TCATCCACATCATCACCCAACTTTACTAGGCAACAGCAACGCCATGTCAACATATGGTGTCAACACATCATTGTGACATGCCATTGCCTCGCCAAACTAAGTGCCTGGCTTCACCACTCACCAAACGTGCACAGTGAAAATGAGCCTTCCCCTAGAACAAGAAAAGATACCCGGCCATAATTTTGTCTTTTGTGCATGTGGTGAGTGGCAGAGCGAGGCCCTAATCCAACTCATGTACCCCTGCAGAGAGTTTTATTTTTGGAGAGGGCGGCCATCATGGTCTTGGGAGAGAGCGATTCCATACACCAAAGAGAGTAGTGGAGCAGAAGCAAGACGCAAGAGTGCAACCGGATGGTCCAGATGGCGCACACAAGGGTACTTTCTCGAAACCTGCCCATGTGGGTGAACACTCTCTCCTACAATGTTGAACAATCAAAAATGCTTCCCCAATCAAGAAACCCAGCGGAGGCTGCAAACCAACTGCTCACCGGCTTGAGCAGCCCTCTGATTGAAATACCTAGCTAAGAGCCCAGTACAATCTCCATAAGCCCATAATATTGAAGTTCGTCTGGGTACAACAAACCTGAACAAATTCCACAGGTCCGGGGACAAAGTCTGAACAACAGGAGCACTTCAGCAAAGAAACAACACCAGCGTTAAAATTGGAACGATACATAGAAAATTAGCATGGCCCCTGCGGAAGGATGACACACGCATAAATCAAGAAATGGTCCATATTAAATCAAATTAAATCAAAACAAAGGTTTTGGAGCGGGAACGGCTGTTCCCAGCAACAGGAAAAGAAAGTGAATGAAAGAGAGAGAAAGCAACGAAGAACAGATCAGAGCACAGGAATACGAGAAGGAGCCGGAAAACAGAAACCACGACGGAAGAAGGGAAGAGGGGCCCAATAACATAAAAACTCAAAGAATAGACAGTAAAATGCTATCTATAACCAAGTCCCTCTTTTGCCGCCCATACAAAACTGTTGAATGTCCGTGATCATACTGGTCACTTCACAACAGATCTGCTCGAAAAAGCGTTTCAAAATGACCCTGCACGGAAAACTGGGGAACGTACTGGGTGAAGTTCCCCCGAACACAACACACACTCATTTTGACTGTATGATTACTGAAAGGTAGCTTGTATACCCTCATAATATCTGCTCGGAAAGCGTTTCAAAACGATCCAACCCTGCACGAAAGACTGGGGAACTTACCATCTTTCCACAAACACAACACACACTCATTTTGATTGTATGGGAACTGAAAAGTAGCTGGTATACGTCCATAATCAGGGCGCGGTGTGTTTGGGAGAAGACAGTAGAGGAACACAACGTCACGAACCCCGCTACTTCATGCAATCGCCCTTTTGTTTTTCTGTTGATCCACATGATTGATGATCCGATGGCCACAGGCTTTTTCACCATATGGTGGTTCAACCATTCAGTAAATTGCGGGCAAAAGTCAAGAAGGCCCTAGTATGCTTCCGCCAGAACCATAGGAATGTTTTGCGCGTCTGTTCCATAGCCCCAGGACAATAGTCTAGACCGTGAGAAGGGTAAGGGGTGTTCTAGACCGACGACGGTTGTATACTACTGGCAGAGCTTTAGGAGATACCTGGCATATTTCTTCCCCTCAAGCAGAGGTCCACAGGGGGCAGATGTCGACCTGCATGCCTGACTGCCTGCCTACCTTCCTTTTACTACTAGTTCTTATGGAACACAGACTCGCCAAGACAGGGAACCGCCAACAGTGACGAAGCATGTACTACGGGAAGAGCAATAGCAGCTAGGTGGCATATCTCTTTCACTTAATCACAGGCAGAGGTGCACAAGGTCCAGCAAGACGGTGCACAAGGGCCTGCCTGCCTGCCGGCACTACACTGTTCTAACGGAGCACAGACTCAGCAAGACCGTGAACCGTCAATCATCCGCAGAGCCCCCTATGTGGGCTCCTAGCCACTAATCCGCATTCATCCAAATTCGAAGCCGACTATCACACATCCGAAGCAGATCCACGACTCCACAGACTACCGGTTCAAACAACCCACCGCATCCCGGAGATACACGCAGTCCTACATCCCAGACTAGATCCAGTGAACCAACCTCGTTCAACACACAGTTCATAGCAAACTAATTAATCCAACTAAATAGAAGTTACATAAAAAAAAAATTCCCTCTTGGTATTATGACCAATTGGTCAGTCAGTCATACCATCTCATGATTACTCAGTGCCTTCCTTCTCCTCTGGCTTAGCTCTAATTCCATTATTTTCGTTACCCTCACTTCCTTATCGCCGCTCCTCTGTCTTTTTCTTCCTCGCCTCTTCGTCTTCCCTTTTCCTGTTCTGCTTTCCCTTATCGCCGCTCCTCTGTCTTTTTCTTCCTCGCCTCTTCGTCTTCCCTTTTCCTGTTCTGCTTTCTGTTCCACCTCATTCTTCGCCCCGCTCTTTCTTTCAACAGTCTTCATAGGAATCTTCTTATTTTGTCCCCTCCCCCACCCCCCGCTCCCTCCATTGTCTTTTGCCTCCTCTTCCGAATTCTTCTCTTTTCACGCCTTGATGCTTTTTTCTCTCATTTCTATCGATCATCGAACTGCCTGGAGATATCATCATCGAACTGACCGGTCCCAAGTAATTCAGAACTGTCTCATTCTGCTTATATGACTGCAACCGGATCCGAAACGAGTTCCGTAATTCAGTGCGTGGACGTACCGACTGACCTAGACCCGTTGCTGTCTTCTTGCTTTTCATAAGCCTCTCCACCTCACTTACTCTCCTCTCCCTTCTCTCTCCCCCCATCGACCTATAAGCTCGATAAACAGCCACTTCAGAGGGACGACAAAATTTACATCGGACCGGAAAGATAACTTGTACACACTCATAATGAGGATGAATTGTGTTCGAAGGGAGAGGGTAGTCTCGGTGGAGCACCTAGAACTGACCTTTTATCCTCTCTCTCTCTCTTCTCTCTCTCTCTCGAGCGCGCGCCCTCGTTGTAATGTAAACATCGTCACAATTCCAAAATGAGGATTGCATTCAAGGAATAAATTTGAAAAATCATATCGGCCCACTTGCACACAGCCCAAAGGCAGAGAGGCAAAGAAAGAGAAAGAACAGCCAAATGTAACAAAACAGGGGGAAACAAACATAAACAAATCCTAGATGACAAGTCCCACATGCAAGCACCGCCCCCTCCGTCACAGGCCAAACAACGGGACAAGACCAACCAGGATATCAAAACACCCTTGCCTGCAAACAAGCAATCCCAGATAACATACCTTTCGTACTCACCAGCGACTCTGCGCCAACTCCAAGAATCCTTCGCGATTGTCATTTGTTGCAAAAACTGGTATAGTTTTAATATTTCTACTGCTTCGCTGTTCCGAACTAAAATGCTGGAACGCCACCAACGGCAAAAAAAAACAAAAACAAAAAAAGAATCCCAGATGACGATTCCCACAGAACAGCACCGCCCATCGCACCAAGGCCGAACAACGGGAAACAGCCAACTAGGATGCCAAAGGATTAAAAAAACGGAAGACAGGTCCCACATGCAATCACCGCCACGGACACCCTACCGTAAGCCGAACAACGGGACGAAACCAACCGGGATGCAGACAAGGGTGCCAAAATCACCAAAACAAATTCTGCCATAACCATAGTAAAAAGACGGATCCATACAAAGCAAAGAGCCCAGATGACGATTCCCACATAAAAGCACCGCCCCCAAATACACAGGCCGAACAACGGGAATCAACCAACCAGGATGACTAGTCCCACATGAAAGCACCGCTACGCATCCCAAAATAGACCGAACAACGGGACAAAACCAACCGGGACGCAGACAAAGTTACCAGAACAAATTCTACCATATCCATAGTAAAAAGACGGAACCATACAGTAGGTCCACAAAACGAAATACCCCATCCACGGGGAAGAGTAAAGCAAAAAAGAGAGAATCACAAATATTTTCTATATATATATCGCCACACCGTGTCGATGAGCGCAAAGGCGAAAAAAGACAAAACACAAAAGCGAAGTAGGGAAGGAAAGCTCCGCCTGTTCATGACCTCTTACGTATATATACATATACTGCCACAAAGGACCCCTGAGCCATGCGGAAAGGTAAAGAACCGGGACAGCAAAAGCGGTGGACTGTCACCGACTGCTTCGTCGTAGGTCCATAAGGAGACTTTCAAGCCTCGACAGTCTCCAAGACCCGCCTCCTCAGTATACTTCGACACATAATCTCTACATCTCCTACATAGCGAAAAAAGAGGGAAGCCCGAGGGCATACTCACACGGGATCTGTATTCCCAAAATCCCACAAAAAAAAGGGACCAGGCCGGTCACACGGATCTACCAAATTCGCAAATGTACTATTCCTGTGCCCATTTTTCATCGGCCTGGGAAGCCGCGAGGCAAGGGATTTTCCGGTCACCTCTGGAGGTGACCGCAAATGCCCTATTTCATTTTTCGCATTTTTTGCGAAAAATG